CATTAATTTCATGTTCAGAGTGCATGGCGAACGTACACAACGTGATTCGTATCGTTTCTATTCTGTCATTTACTCAGGATGAACATCGATGTTGCAATTCTGGAGTAATCCATATTTCTTTGAGTAGTAGCCTTCGAAAAGCCAAAAATGTGATCGTTAAGTCGTGTACCTGGTTATTGGGCATGGTTTACTTTGAGACTATCATGAAAAGCCTAGGGTTTGAACGATGAGACATGTTGGCGACCGAGAAAGGTGTTTAAATTCTTCCTCCACACTCAGTTTACCCACGGTTACTATTAACCGTCGTTTATATTTCGGAAATTGTGAATCGCCAGATTTTAGGGGGAAAAAAATCATCGATTTTTTGTTGCAATCAGTGCTACAGATCGCATTTTAACATTGCGGTAATTCACTTCCGCATTGCGCTAAAAAATCATCGTCAATAATCGGAAAATTTCATCATTACGACACATCATTTTGATTGGTTAATGAAAGACATGACCTGTTATGTCAAAGGAAGTTGTTCCAGGTCAAATCGTGCTGAAAAACCTCATGGTGGAAAATTGTTTTGCGTCGAGAGTTTGCGTACGATCGAAAACATACCAAAACGAAGATAATGATAAATGCCTTCGTCCACTGTTTCCTCACAGACCCTACCCATTATTTCACCGTAAATTCAGACGGTATGTAAATCGTATTGTAATAAAATGTGTGTGTTTTTTATGAACATGATTGTTTCTTCATTGTAAGTATCGTTCAAATCAATGACGCATTTTTTTTCGTTGGTTAATTTTTCGTTGTTTGCAAGATGGCTACAGTGTTTAACCCCAAAACAAAATCATTTTTTCTGAGTTGGTTCTCGAGTACAAGCTCATCCCTTACTTTTCCTTTACGTGTTCATGCCTCCGGGCTTATGATCAGGAAAGTACGGTATACTGTGACGAGTCAGATCAGTTCAGTGTGAGTGATGAGAGTATATCGTCGACGATGCCCCTTGTTCGGATGAAAGTTTTATTTCAAATTACACGGAAGTCTGTGAACAATCTGCTTGGTGTTCCTGTGACACTTGTCCCATGATTTGCCAGTGCAGCCCCGTGAATACATGGACGAAAATGTTTCCACCACCACACTACGAACTCAAGATTGCATACTCCAGCATCCATACTTTGAATAATTTGCACGCCGCACAGTGCAGTACTGGAAATAGCATTTATTAGACAGTTAGACAAAAAACAAAACAAAATGCCTGTCTCGATCAATCGCACATCCATAATGTTTGTATGTTGGTAGCTTGTAAATAACGTTAACGTAAAAGTAGAAACCTAGACAACCTAGACTAGAAGTCAATTCACCAGTCCAGCCAGCTATGGCTCCCTAAGTTGCTTATATTTAATCAGATACTATTTCGTCATCATGCTTTGTTACCTTACCTGTTTATACCTCATGAGGGCGTTTTTTTATGACAAGATGGCGCAAACGGAAGTCCTTCGCAGGTTTATGGTTTCTCATATTTAAATCATCATTACTCTGAAGATAATCATTTTTTTAAATTTTGTTTTTCAAATTTATAATCAATATACATAACTTGATAAATACAAACACCAAATAGGCTCTATTTAGTTCCCCTTTAAGATTGTACCAAGTAATGGACATTCCATTTCTTGCCAATTGATGGTTCTTGATTGATGGATGGTTCTGGCCATATGTTGAATAGGTCTGGGGTAATCTGCTAAGAGATTTGCCACTCAAAGCCCAAGAACATGGCTCAAGTCTGTACAATAAGTCAGCTATCTCTGTTGTGAGTGCTCCTATGTTATGCAATGCATACCAGAGTGAATTTTAACTGTAAGAATACTTGTTGCTGTGTTCATGCAATGCTCTAGAGACCGAGTGAGGTGTCTGTCAAATCAGGCACTGTTGGTAGAGATGGTAAGAAGGGCACTCCATGCAGTTTTATCAGGTGGTCTAAATACCTGGCCCATCTGGAGAACTTGCATATTATGCCAGAATCTACATCTAACTAAAAATGCTACAGTGTGTAGCCTGGCATGAGGCACTAGAGCTCTCACAGATGTCACATCATCCCAACCACACAATAGATTCTGAAGTCTGGTTGCGAGATAAGATTGGGCTATGCCTCTAGATTCAATAAGTGTTTGGCTAAGGGACAGAACACTAAGATTGCAACTATTTCCATCTCAAGGGATGTTCTCTTAAATTGATAATCAGGCTTGTGACAACAAGAATGGCATTCTGGGTGTAGATCATCTTAACAAGGAAAGCGATGACAACCAGAGCGGTGACAGGCATTCTTTTTAGGTACTGGAGTAGATGCTACACCTTGAGTCCACACCTTGAGTCCACACCTTGATTTTCTTCCTCTCTTGAAATAAAGACAAAAGCAGAGGAAAGATTTTTTTCTTCATCAAAACTTTGTCGTCGACTGGGTTGTAGAACTGGAACAGGATTTCTCAGTATCTACAGCCGGAAAATGGGAAACTGATTAATACTGGTAGTATTCTATTGGAATCCTCCCACGAGTCCTAGATGTGCCATGCATCTTGTGTGTGATTTCATTATTTACTTTCACTGTTGAGCTAATTGGTTCATGATCAAACCCATTTTGTCTAATTGGACACATTTATAACTATCCAGTAGTGGCAGTAGCTGGCTGCTGTAAACTGATCACTTAATTGTGCTAATTAGGGGATGGATCTTTTAAGAATCGTCACTTTCCATGTGCGGATTTATGAGGCGCCCGCCTCCCGCTTCATCCCGCAAAAAAAAAAAATCAAATCAATTGACAAACCCAGCCCACCAGAGTTGCGTGGACGTGTCCTTCGGCCACATCAATAGGAGCGCGCCCGCTTACCAAATTGTTAGATCCACCAGGGCTTTCTAGCTTCAAAACAAATGTCTATACGATTGGACAGATTTCACTTTGTTCAGTCATTGTTTCGGCGAGCATTGCAGAAACTAATATTTAATTTGGAAAAACAGTTACTGAACTGTAGAGGGCAGTGTGTGTATGTACATACTCCGGTAATCCAAAGCTTCCCCCCTTTATAGTGTCAAAGATCGCAAATGTTGCGGCAAGTTTTTGTTCAGTTATACAGAACATTTGCTTGAAATAAGTAATACGCGTATGATATTATTACGTATTCAAATTATCGACCGCTGCGGTTGTAAACAAAAATCTCATAGAAAGGATTAAAAAATATGTATGTACATTTGTTTTGCAAATGGCTGTTAAAAATAATGGCTGTCGACATTGCCAACAAAATGTAAAGACCCTTATCTAAATTAATTACACCCATGAAACTTAGATACACCAATAAATGTTAAGTTTAGAAATGTAAAACTGGATGAGTTACAGGCTATGTGGATTAATACTTTATCCCATTCAGATCAAAATTAACTTAGACTGCAACTACTCAAATACAGTGTTGGAAGAATATTTGTAGATTACCATTGATACAAAATTAAGGCATTTTTCATTGAAATTAACCCCAACATCTTGTTGACAAATTCAAAATTCTATAAGGTAGAAAAGGAAGCAATAATTCATCTGTCCACTATTGATTACTATACAACAAGAAAACACATTACCTGGTTAAAAAAACAACTAAATTTTTATAATTTTTTAAATACTTCTAGTCATCAAAAAGTACCATGTAAGACATATTTTTGTTTTCATCATATGTCACCGTGCAAAGTGTTGAGACATAACAACCTTGCCCATAGGAAACGCACTAAAACAGAAGAAACATTCTATTTTCATTGTATTTTATGATTGATCGATTTTCTCCGACCTGAGTACGATAACAGCATGTTTTTATTTAATTTACTTAATCTTTATAACATCAACAAATGACAATATAGCGCTCTACCTTAAAGTACTACCGGGAATTTGAAGTTCTCTCTCAACTATTGAAAAGGGATGACCAGGGTGAATTAAACCAATGTAGTAATATCCCTTAATAGTCTGAGCAAGAAAATAAAACAAAGCAATCTTTATTTTACGTCTACATTATGTTGCTGTTACAAAACGTTCACACCCCCCAAAAGAGATACTTTGTAAAATAAAATATTGTAAAACCACGTTGAAAAAAAGAAAATTTTATCAGTTTTAATGGTAACCAAATTGCTTGTGCATTTTTTGGATATTTGCGTAGATGCATATTGAATGCAAACATAATTCAGTAATTAATTTAGTATACGACACCCCATCCTCGAGCCGCACTAAAACCTTACTTGCCCTGGGCCACGTGCACTGCTATATTATAAAACTACACTACGTTCAACACAAAGTTCCCAGTGGCACTTTAAATAAGAAAATAATTAAGCGCAGCACAACTGTGAACGTTCATGACCAGTGGTGGAAGGGAACTACGATGATGTTGAAGTAGCGCAGACCAGACTCCATAGTGATTGGTCGAGTGCACATATCCCGCCCCGTGTGACAGATCTGTATGCAAATAGGCCGACTCGCATTTAGAGCCAATTTTCCATTAGTATGTGAACTAAAAAGTTCTTTACAAATTGAATGTAAATGTGCTTTTGATGACAACAAAAATAACATGAAAAAAATTGTAATTCAACCGTGATAACAGTTTTCAAAAATCAAATCCTTTTTTTATTTTATTTAAGTTTTCTCGATTACGTTTACCAGTGCATAATCTTCATGATTTATAAAACCGAAACGTCTCAACAATAATTATACGTATATTGTGTGCTGGGGAAAGTGTATTGTATGCAAATACATTCCATCCTCCTGACATGCCTGGCGGTAATTTTGTATTCATATTTTGTTGTTCTTTTCATCCCAATTTGTTTTCACAAAATCCTCCCTCCATCTGTTTTCAAATGGTAACCCATAATTAACTCACCTTACTCTATAATCATTGTACATGTACTAGATTTGGAATTGCGCCATCCATCGGCCAAATCCGGAGCGACCTACATAAAGCTTAGCTGAGGGGAAAGTTGCGTGATTAAAATATTGTTTACATGTTTAAAGTGCATTTGTCATTGGAATCACACGACGTGTTGCATAATGCTACATGCACTTGCTAATTCATGTAAAGTAATTCTAACCACATCCGTCATATCTGTAAATCTAAAGCCCCACCCTACCCATTTTGTTAGTAGTTCCTTCCGCACAGTCCCCGGATGGTTAATAGTTGTCATGCGCAATTGATTTCTTCACAAGTACCGAAGAAGTTCTGAAGTTTACAAGGTTCGGAACCGGCTCACTAAGGGTGTGTTTGAACCGGGGAGAAAATGGACATATTGACACCGGTAAGTTACCCTGATTTGGTATCTCTGTTGGACACGCCTATACTGTTTTAGACGCCGTGTCACTTTTTAAACTAGACTGCAGCGTTGATCGCATTTGTTGTGGTTTTAACCCTCCCCCCTATACCGACAGTACGATTTTTGGCTGCTAAGCTTGTTGATGTCCGAGTGCTGTTTTAATCATATTACCCATACAATGAAGAAAACACACTATACAGATCACGCATTGTATTTCCAAAAACTGTTAATTGTGTTTACAATACATACGTACATCTATTTAACTCGTTTTATACGGTTATTGTGGAATCAGTAATGTAAACATTTGAGAGTGGCAACGACTCGTCGTTTCGCTGCAGTTGTGGTTCCTAGCCCGATTGGTTGTCAGTCGTCGTTTTCATTTGGTATATACTGCCGGCTCTTTTTCGCTACTAACGGCAATTTACGATCATGAACAAATCAGCTATGTAAAAAGAAGTTTAAAATCAGTTGTCTGTTGCACTATGACTACTTAGTGAGCGACATGACCGCTGCTTCGGTTCGCTAATGATAATTCTCCCAAGACCTCCGTGTCTTCGGTTCTTCCCCTGTCATGCCTGGGTCTTGTGCAGTAGGAATGAGTTAGTGAATGTGGCTTTTGATAGCTGATTATGTCTATTGTATTATTTGAACAAATTGTGTGATTGAATTTATTGAGAGGATTATTCTGACAGTATACTTTATCATGCCACGTTACAGCACTGATCGATGTTCTAAACTGAACACAAACTTTGAGATCACAGTTGAGAATGATATGGTATAACATGTTTACAAATACGACACAAATGAATACTATGATGATAATAAATACCAATCTGTTATGATGAATATTAATATGTATTGTATGGGTTATCATTTTACCAACCACATATGTGTTAGAAGGCAGTCTCCTAATCCCATGACTAATGTTATTATCGTTTGTGTGTCGGTTCAAATTTGAACAGTCCAACTTCCGGTCATTGTAAATCACCTGTATGAATCACTGGCAATCACAGACAATCGGTCCTTGATGCGTGTCAACTTCTAATGTTTCCTTCTTGTCACCTAAAATAAACAGTGCTTCTGGACTGCGCAAATTATTGTCTATGTGAATATGCATCCATTGGATAACCCTGTGGTGGACCAAGCCCTGTATGGGGACTACCAAATTTCTTTTTAAGATCACTCGGTGCTACATTATCTAAACAGTGGGTGTATAATTATAGCATAGGGGTTTGACAATCTGAGTAGGCGGTGGTTATATAGCAGGAAATTTGGCTTTGATAGAAATGCTAAAAAAAAACTTAAAATTGTAACTATTTATAATGTACATGTTCCTGCATAAATCATATAGCGACAATTTTGGGCGTTTACATCATTACTAAGCAATATTTCCTGCTGGACTTCGGAAACCACCAACATAGTGGATCGCCAAGAACCTGTGATTTATAATTCTATAAACCATAAAGGTCTACTACTGAAAATTAAATATTTTTTTTATCCAGTGAAAATTATTGTCTAAGTATACTGCTTGAGTGAATCTAGTTTTTGTTGATTTTTTGGGGGCACAGACAAAATCGTCAACAGTTATCAGTTTATATAATCAGATTAACAATACTGAAGCATGACTAGTTTTCTGGTATGAGTGAATATATAAGAATATCAAATTAATTGTTTTACCAAAGACGCTAGAAAATACAGGTAGTGTCTTTGATTTTACTAATATCTATGCTTATATGCGCAATGTAATGTTGACTCTCTGTCTACCTTGATGTATTTCCTGTGTGCGATTTCTTCAAAAATAACATGAATAATTTCTGCACGTCCTGCTTTGCTTAAACCCGGCACTCTACTCGGTGTAATCATGCAATGACATTATTCGTGTTGTTTACATTACCAGTTGTTATCTGTTTACGTTTCCCATGGAATTTTAATCCTGTAAGGACATTTATAATGTAACCAGTCATTTTTATAAAATATACAGAAAATTGACAATATGGCTATGCACAATGACAAAGAGGCTTCCATGCTTGGCTTGAAATCATAAAAATGGAACACGTGTGTTCACTTAACCATGACCATGAAGGTATAAAAAGGGATGGAGCAATTATCGCTAGTTTTATGCCCTCCGTAAACCGTTCTCTGTATACTTGACTGACAGCATTAAAAATGCTCAGGATAATTCTTTACCATATCTACCTCCATTTAAGTTCATTGGTGGCAGTTGAACCATTTCAAATGCATGTGTCTGTACGTATTCCTGAATAGGGTTGGCCATTTGAAATCTCTTTCACATATAAATGTTTGAATCTTCCACCCCACCCCAGTTTTCAAATGGGGAATCCCTTAGTGAAAAGGTGTCCATTAACTTAGATATTTAAAGGTTAGCTGTAATAAAGGAACCGTTTCAAAGAAAGAAAGCAAGAGAGGGAGAATGAGAGGGAGAGGGAGAATGAGACACGCCCCACCACTCAGAGAATGATTTTTAATTCATTAGAAACTTTGCATCACAATGAACATTGTGAAATTTTGTCTTCATGAATACTGTCAAATTATCATATTGGGAAAATTTACTAATACTGAAAAATCTTTATTGTGATTTTTTCTGGTTTATTAATTTATTGCACTTTTTGGATGTTTGAGCAATGATTTGTTGATGCATTACCTACATCATAGAATAACTCAGCAATACAGATTCCTATCTAACAAGGGTTGCCAAATAGAATTTGTTGGGGTGGATTGATCCAATATGCCGAAGAGCTTTTACCATCCAAAGAACAGGAAATGACCTTGTCAGATCTGCATGGTCAGGAATTTGAAACCTTTTTCAGGGTTTTAGTAACATATTCATGAATGAAAAATTAGTACAAGTTGGGTAAACAATAGTGTTCTCTCTAGGCTGATTAAGTATGATGCATTTACTATGCTATAAACTCTCAGAAAACTATTCTGTTGCATATTTGAATGATATGCAAATTAGAATTAATATGTAAATTAGCCACCATGTTTGTACATTTAGTTAGTAAAACATCTAATTTAGTGTATTCTACAATTATTATAGAACACAATGTTTTATTCAGTATTTGACCTGTTTTAATAACTAACACGTGCATAAAATATCTTCCCTGTCTCACAATATATCATATAATCCTCAGTGTTAATATCTTCACCTAAGCTAAAATTAAATTGTAGAAATAATGGCAGCACTATTAGTCTTTAACACCTGACCACAATGTTCTTTAGGTAAACTTTCTGTATTGTCTCAAACTAGAGAATTTATTATGACTACCGGTATGTTCCACTCAGTGTCGTTTTTAAGGGCAAAATATTTTTTCAATTGTGGGCCATAGAGATTGCTATTCACTGAAATGTCATTTTAATCCTTGTAATTTTGTATAATATAAAATCATTTATTTTCATTGGGATTTAAGCTCACTGTTTTGTTATTTTGAACATATTCACTGGGTTTTCGTTTTTAATTCATAAATCTGCCAGTGAACGAGTTATAATTTGATTTAGAAAAAATCGCTGAATTAAAACTTAATGAATAATTAATACGTTTACAGTACTAGTATTACATTACAAAGCTTACAGCATTTTTTGTTCTATTAATTTTTTTTCTAACAAATTCTTATAACTTCATATTTTTTAATAAATAACCCTATAACAAGCACTTACATGTAAGTTAGAAATGTATTTTGGGTCTCTTTGTGAATGTTTTTATCGTATTTTCTGTATCTCATTCTCCTTGAAAACTGATCTTATGTGTGTATATGTGCTGTCATTTGCAATATATACTCACATTGTACATATGCAGGTATACGTGTTGTGAAGTAGATATCTTTGTCTGGTTACTTAGAAAAGATACACCATACATTGAATCAGAAAAAAAATGAGATGAATTCAAAACAGTGTTATTCATTTTTTTTAACAGAGATTTAAGATAAAATAATTTCAAAGCAGTATGTTTTACCCAATCAGCCAACAATTTCTGGGAAATGAAGAGAGTATATTACCTCAGAAAAAAAAAATAGTCTGAGATATACGGTAACCATGCACAGGCATGAGTATGGGTTTTTTTTTTGTAATATCATTCTGGTTTGCTCTTTTCCCAAAGTACTAAATGAAATCTGTTTTGATCCAAAATGATGTATGCAGTGAGTAAATATGGTTACTTTAAAACTAAATAAAACAAAATTTTCAGGCTTTCAACTTAGGTGGGAAGATTTTAACATTAAAATAAAAATAAACATATTAATACTTTTTTTTATAATATTTTGGAGACAATACAACTTTAATATTGCTGCTGAGAAAGATTTTCATAAATTTGAGTAAATCACAAAATCCATGCAGCTGTAAAAATTCCACTATGAGGTCTTTAATCAAAGTAGGTGTCATAAAATTTAATGCATGTAGATTCCCTCAAATTACCAAAATGTGAAAAGTACTGGTGATGTTTAAAATGTGAGTTTTGATGCAGGAACTGACCCTCGGCTTTGCTGTGTTTTCCCAAGTGTACTATGCTGGTATTGATTGAAACTTAATGACATGTATCCAGTCATTTGGCAAATAAATAAAATCTTGTCCAGTTTCCCTTGAGGCTGGCTGTCATTGCTGTGTGCTACAGGTGTAGGTTATATAAGTAGGTTTGCTTTATTTTTTGTTTTACAAAACCAAAAAGCCCAATACTAGACAAAAGAATTATAATTTTCTGTTTTTCTCATTTTCCATATTATCATAAAAAATATGCTGCAGTATTTTAATTTTCTATGAAAATTTTATACTTTCATTCTTAAGAAAATTTCGACAAAAGATGAGAAACATGGATATTTTTCGAACCAAGAATTTATGTGTTCTTTGTTGTGATGCGACTATGGCCGCTTAGTGTATGTAATGCAAACTCCATTTAATATACATGACACAGATGATGTCATCTTCCTCTCGGAATGACTCTTGTGCCACCTGTACAGTAAGCAACCCGAGCATGTCTGCGACTTGAATAATCGCAGTATCACTTCATTGTGTTTCGCAGGAAGTTACATACAAAGTTTATTTTTAATAATGAAAGCATAGCATGTACATTTTGTAGGTGAATTGCCCTGGGGTAAAGGTCAGGTCGTGTTAGATATCTGCACGGGGTTAATTTACCCATGATATTACAGGGATGGTATTAATCAAGGCAGTTGCAAGCTGCATTACGATTAGACATCTCGGCCATATATTTTTATCAGAATTGTTGTCTGCGTCCTTTGAATGCATGTTATGCGACTGTGGACCGCTTTCAATCTGTTTTTAGCATTGCATCATGAGAAATGGTAAACATGTAAAATTTACATCAAATGAAGAACATACTAGTATTAATATGTAATAAATGTCATAAATATTACATTAATAGGTTAATGGTTCTTGAGTAGACAGAAACACGATTCTACTTGTAATATGGCAGATTATTATTTTCTTCCCTGCATATTTGCTAGCTATTCATAGTATTAAAAAAATGATATTCTTTTTTTTGTGTAACGGTTGGCATACTGATCATTTATTGCATTTATTTTATTAAATTATTCTGTTTATATGATTGATCTGTATTTTCTGTTTCCAGGGCAACCATGTGTGGCTGCATGACAATAAGCAGGTTAAAGCAGCAAGAGTTGAGAAGGTTGAAAACAATCAAGTGATATTGTCACATAACTATGGGGAGGTAAGTTCATCATATTGTCTGCATTTCCTCCTCTATTTGCTGGCATGGCAACATATCTGCCACTCTGTCTCATCTTTGGTCACTGAGGCCATCCATACGAGTATTAACCAATTCTCTGTGTGTTGATATGAAACTGTATTTCAAAATTATTGTCATCTTTGGATTTTTACAACCCTTTCCATCAAAATAAGGTGTGTTTCGTAGAACGTCGAATTTATCACCTCCCAAAGGTTTGTAAGACACATGATCATCGCCAAGTTGAATAGACATGCTAAATCTGAGAATTCATAAGCTGGTTCAATTGTTGAGAGCCTTCAGCTCAGCAAGCAGTGAACAATGTACATATCAGATGTAAACACACACACCTATTAATACACGTACAAGCATTTTATTGGCTTAACTCGGCTATGGAGATATAGTTCCAAAACAAATTTGTAATGGGTTGATTAACATGAACACAAATATTTACAGACCATTTTCCATTATAGATAAATGGTTGCATAAAACTGATATAAATGATTTAGACTTCAGATGAGACAAGTTTTCATGAATCATACATGTTAAAAAAAGAGCGAATACATTTACCAGCAGCGACAATTTGACTGGGGTCCAATTAGACAGGCATTGCAATGACAGTGATTTTAGTCATTGCGTACCCCATCAATTTCCCAGACCACAGACATGCAATGAAAATTTAACGATGTATTGTGTTTAAATCTATATATACGTTGTTGATTACAACTTCATCTATTATTCATTGCATTTGAGTTGTTTCTTTAATGATTCTGGTTTTCTTGCAATATTAAATATTTCAATATAGCAATATTGAGGGATTAATCTGTGAATACGAAAGCAATTAATATCCTGTTAATATTGTATATGCAAGGTTTATTTCTGGAAAAGACAAATGTCTTGGTCTGAGAGATTACAATGGTTGATCACATGACTTTGGATGAGTCATCGCTGAAACAGGGGTGTCAAAACTCGTGATAATGTTATTTTCAGTACTGTCGTTTATAGCTATCTAATTCGATTTGATGATCGTTTTAGCTGTCATTCTGCTGACCCAAAATTGACACTCAAGTACTAAAAAATGCTTGCTGTCTGGCTCTGTATATCTGCCTTTGTACAAATGTTAAATTGATTTATTTTCAGTACAAATGTATGCATATTAATTACCTAATTTGCATATATATTTTGATTTTTGTCTAATCATACAATGTAGTGGTTAGTAGGGGGATGGTCAGTATTATGGGTGCTATATATTAAGTAGATTACATTTTTTGAGGGCTATTTTTCCTAACAAATTCTTATTCAGAATTTTTATAAAAATTATGAAAACAATTGTGAAGGCATAAACTTATGAATGTGACAATTATTGATTTAGACTTGAAAGATTACAGAAAAATGTAGAAGTCAAAACTATCTTGAATATACAATATAACTATTTTAAGTTAACTGCAATCATCTAATTTTCACAAAATAAACCCACCCAATCTTCTTCATATTTTTGCAAAATCCTTGATCAATACCTGTTTGGACCATTTGGTCTAAAATTAACCCAAAAATTATAGAAAAATACAAAAAAATTGAAAAATGTTGCACATTGTGACGGGAAAAATTTACTTTCAATTGGATAAGAAATAATCAACAGAAATTGCTTTCATATTATGTCTCAAATGTTATTGAATATACAAAGTGTATTATTTATATTTTATATAAATGTATTAAATCTCCATCATAGATATTCTGAATACTTTATTCATTTATGTGTAGTTGAAATTCCGTACAGCAGCCTGTGTTGACAATTTCTGGTTCTCGTGTCACCTGGAAGCATTGGCAAAGAAAAGGAATACTGAAGCTGTATTGTGTATTCATATCACGCTGAATTCATATCTTGCACTTCTGAGCATAATTGCATTATGGGCAAGAACTTTTGAGTGTTTATAATGGAAAACTGGAAAATAAATAAATTAAATGGTAATATTTTAAAATAATTAAATAATATTATGATGTATATCCTCCTGTGTCATCCTGTGTCACCAAGCAAAATTACAAGATATGAAAAAATAATATCACCATGGAAACCAACACAAAAATGCAAATAATGACGATACATTTCTGATCGTGTTTGATGAAAAATTGTATAGTGATTCGTATCTTTCCTTTTTTGGTGTCCTCAAGAAAATAATCCATAGCAATGAAAACAGCTAGAAGATGATGACATACCACTTGGTCAAAACCTCCTTAAACTGAGTGACACTGGGATGGTGTACACATTGTATATTTAAAGGGCGACAGTCGTCGTGTCGCGTTCTGTTCGATATGGGACTCATAGCGACGTATACAACATGTGAAATACATTGTTTATTTACATGAAATTCAAACACGACCACCGCGCTTTAGTTTTCTGGGTCTAACTGGTATTGACACTTTCATGTAAAGTGAAGACACTTAGTAATATATCAGCAAGCCCTTAAAGTTACTGCAACATTTTTATATTCAGTTATACCCTCTACATTGTATTGTACATACACATTCATGAAAACCTCAGCTGTTCAATTTTCAACTGTACATGCACCTAGATGTCTGCTTAATTAGTGCACGTCTTTAATTCATCGTCTTCCAGTACATACATACTATAATGGATCATCTGCTTCTAGTTACTCTATTTAGTAATTAGTTAATGGCTGTGTTTATAAGCAAAGATAAGTGCCTGCATGCATAATGCAAGATGCTACAATATGTATATAAATACAGTTTTTTCTTTCCAGGAAATGTGCAAGCCCTGTGCCTAATTTACATATGAATTAGATATTAATTGAATCTATTGTCTTGTAAAAAATTTTTACATACAAATATCGTGGCTTAGATGAAAGATTCTGAGAACAATGCACATACATGGTTATCTGATATTATTTTTTTTGTTTTCAAACATGTTATTTTGATTGGTACTACGAGTCTGTTAGCTTACTCAGACATGTTTTCTGCATATGGATGATATTGTCTGTTAGAGATATCATCTTTCAATGAATCACAAGTAAGTGATGGGAAGACATATCAGTATGTTTGCTTGCAGTTCACTTTCAGGTTATGACCTTGCTCATCTTTGAGTCCACTCAGTGATTACTTTGGTTTAATCTGTGGAATTGTGATTCATTTATTAAATGCTCTAGCCATGGACGCTTCAATTCAGTAGAATTGGGTCTTGAAGTAATTTTAGAATATCATATATGCTCAGTTTGTTTGTAATAATTAAAATACATGTAATTCATATTTTAATGATCCAGCATACTATGAATGCAATTATTAGTTTATGTATGCTTGTTTTGGAGATGCACTTCTTGTAAATTTCATGAAGATGATCCTCTGACATAAACACTTGGCAATTCCCTGGGAATTAAACCTACCATGAGGCTGTTCGTTAACGATCTAAAAAAAAAAAAAAATCAATATTTTTCAGGAAAATTTTTTGATATTGCCAAAATTATCAACATGGCTTTCTCAGAAATCAATTTGTTGGATGGATCTTGGTATAAATTAACAATATTATAAAATTTATTACCTCATTCATAACTAACCTACAAAATTCTATGTCGATAAAACCTATGTGATCGTACAAATATTTTCCTATCAACACGAGCCTGAACTAAACAGCTGTGCGTCCAACTGGTGCGATAATCGGAGAGATTAATATTGAAATCTGAAAAAATCTACATATCTGCGAAAATATACAGTAATTTAGCTGAGATGCAATCATGTGTAGTTTAGATAATGGTGCTATCTGATTGTGTGATGAAAAGTAATCATAATACACCTGGCGCTGAAAACAATAGAATTTAACATTCCTCATAAAGCAATTTGGAATATGTTCGCAATCATACAAATTTACACCATATTTTGCATTGATACAAAACACTGTCTTTGTGCATACTTCGCGGTATGCTCACAACCACCTCATACTTATTGTGATTATTAAAAAATCTGTCGTATTCTGGATATAATAGGGGTGTACTCATACCCATAAGTCAATGATATCAAGATGATTGGCTTTACCATCACTGTGAAAGTAACCAATATTGAATTGATTTCCAGTAGATTCAATTGATGTATGTGATTATTTTCTTGGGTCTGAAAGCTAAATATACAATTTATTATTAATATCAGATAATTGGATTTTGTGAAAAGTCTAATTTTTTATTTATCATGTTTATTTATTATTTTTATCCTTTAAAATCTAATTTTTGCTCTGTCTAATTTTGGTTGTTACTGGTATGTGTGGAAAGATATTTATTGTCATTTGTCGTTATCTATCACCTCTGTAAAACCCTAAACCTGTTTCCTACTCTTGTGAGGCCGCTACAGTACCATAACACAGCTTTTTTTTTTCAAGGCCTTTTACCACATTGCATGGCAAGTCGTATATACCGTATTTGCTCTATTAGTAGCACAGGCACATATATAAATTATCAATTTTTTCTATGGTCAAAATAAGTAATATTTATTTATATAGAATCACTACTGTAACTATTCCAAATAGATTGTGCCTAAAATCATGAGGCAGATTACATTTCCCGAGCTTAGTGCCTAAGATTGTTGTAGCACATTTGTTTATATCAGGTTGTAAAAATTGTCAGATTCTATGAAAGCTTTCATAACTGTAGTTGATATATGAACGAGGAACCTTTCAAATAGACATACATGATTTGTATACACTTAATTTAAATATTTTTAAAATATACAATGTACATTCCATGCCACTGTGAAATCATTTAAATAACTTGCTATAGTTATTAAATATTTATGAATTTGAATATTGTTTGCATTGATATGAAACCAAATGATTCATGCATTCTGGTCTCACGATGTAGAGTTACTTTGTAGCTTTCGATTTACGGCCGTTATTGGTTGGTTAACTTATTTCCTGTTATACAGGTGTTCCCTGTGGTATTTGCTAAAACTTCGTTGTGGTTTATGGACTATTATTTGAAATATATATG